TGATATTTGGAGCTGATATGCCCTCGTTATGAAAGCGACTCATACATACCCTTACCGTTATACAAACGGCTCACATATACCCATACCGTTACAAAATGAGCTCACATATACCCTTCATTTAACGGAAGTGAAAAAATTAATTCTAAACTTATATTTTTGACTTTTTTTTTTAAAAATCATTTAGGGGTATATAGGATTCTTCTAGAAAAGTTCAAGGTATATTTCTAATTTTTTTCATACATAAAATTATTTTTTTGACTTCTTTGATTTTCATTATTTTAGTTTCTTATTCTTATTTTATTTTTTCTTTCATTCCTTAGTGTAAAGAAAAAAAATTTAAACTATTGTTTTGTGGCTAAATTATAAATTAAAACAATTTTTTTTTCCTATAATGTAATTTAATTTTTGTAGTTGAAGAAAAAAAAATTGGTCATCTATAATAAGTTTTACAAGAATATTAGTGAAACATAAATAAATTTGACCATCAAAATAATAAATCTAAATTAGCCATTGAAACAAAAAAATATGTTTGAGGAAGATTAAATATACCCGTATGGGATTATAGTTTTTTTTTTAAAAAAAATAATAAAAACTTAAACTAACTTTTTTTTTTCATTTCCGTTAGAGGGAAATGGTATATGTGAGCCATTTGTATATAAGTAGGGGTATATATGAGCCACTTTCATAACGAAGGGTATATCAGCTCTAAATGACAAAGTTGAGGGATATGTTAGACCCTTTTCCCTTAATATTATCTTTAATATTAAATAAATATATAAAATAATCGTAGATAAATTTAGAGTTTTAAAATATTATTAGTAAAGTTAATTTTAAAAAATACAATTTATATTAAAAAATACATCAAATTAATACTCCCTCTGTCCCTAATTACTTGTCTACTTTTGAATTGGCACACTTATTAAGAAAATAATTAATGACATAGTGAGTTTACCATTTTACCCCTATTAATTATGAAGTGGATAAAAAGTTTTACATTTTTCCAAATAATTAGTCATTTAATTGAGGGTATAACAGATAAATTTTTTTTTGTCCTTTCTTGATTTGTCAAAATAGACAAGTAATTAGGAACTATTATAAAAGAAAAAGTGGACAAGTAATTAGGGACAGAATGAGTAGTATCAACCAAGTAACTCGAAACAGAGAAAAAGAAAGTAGTAACATAATGTAAAAGGCGCATTAAGTATTTGTATGTACATTTATTTGCTACTTTATTCGAGGAAGCAAGTCAATAATTAAGGAAGAGAACCCTGGAAAAACATGTCGAGGTAGTTATTGGAGTATAACTCCTTACGATAAATATAAAGTAGATGCCAAATAAATATAAAGTAGATGCCAAATGTAAACTTTAATTATTTTTTTGTTAAAGTAAAATAATAGTGTACGAATAATTGTCTCGACTCCCATCCTCCACAAAATTTACTCAACCAACCACTCACACATATTTCAATTAATTTATTCTTCTATTCACTGTCAAAATCCTTTCTTACGTACAAAAGTTTCTTCAATTTTTTTTAAAAAAATGTTCATAAAATTTTATTTTCTCCTTCTATCCATTCAGTTTAATTTTAAAAAATATAATCGTGCATTCGCTTTGCAAAGTTAGGAAAATGAAAAAAAGTGCTTGAATTACTTAGAGAGAACGAAAGTGACACTGTTACTTATAACACTTTTGGTATTGGGGTTATGCAGAATTGGATTTGTTGAAATAAGTTTTGAATTTACAAACTGTTAGCAACAAATTTCTGTAAGCGCTGAAAATTAACTGCAAGCAAAATAAATAAAAGAATATGTGATTTTTATAGCGTATTTTTGCGTGATTTGAGGGCTATTTGTAGCGTATTTCTCCAATGTAGGACGATGTAGACCTCCTCGAGATGTATTTGATCTCCGAAAACGTCGGGAAGCACTTCGTCATTTTAAGTTGATCTCCGGGAAGAACTCCGTTGACCACTCCTTCGAAGAGAGCTATGTAGTTCATGTTGTAGCTTTCTCCAATTCTTGCTCCAATGCTTGTTGAAGTGTTTTCTTAGAATGTCATGTCCATCCCCTATTTATAGTTGTAGGGAGCGGACAAGATTGCTTGTGATTGACCAAAGGATGTCATTTTGACACTTGGCGGATTGTGATTGGTTATTATATTATTTGACTAAGACTATCACCTCATTTGGACACGTGGCATCACCTTGTTGGTCTTGGATGCCTAGTCACTGTGACACGTGACATACAAATTTGGACCACAGACTTGAATACAAATTTGGACACCAACACTTAGAGTGCCACATAAGTCCCCAAAGTGGAATTTTAAATAAAAGAACATAACTTGATTTGCTTCGTTTTTGCAAACCTTCAACTTGAAAACAATTGGTAATTTAATAATCACACCAAATTTTCTTTCCTTCGTTTGATTTTGTAAGAATCATTCTTGAAATCTTTAGATTATAGATAGGAAAGAATTGCTATGATTTGCTTCTTCCAATTTTGTCAAAGCTTTCCTTGTACCAAAAATGAGAATTGTTCATAGGAACCTCTATATAAACATCTTTCATGTACAAAGGATTCATCAAAGAATCATTGGAATAATCATTTTGAATTGATAGTAAAATGTTTCTTGAAGTAGAACTCCTAATTTGGTGTGTTCTTTCTATATTTCGTGCAGTCCCGCCAAAACATCATTTTCTTGGTGTAGAAGCATTCAAACGACGAGTGGCTTGATTCTGGAGATACTAGAGTTTTAGTACTATGACATAATAAAAAATCAACATAAAAAACCTTTCGTATTGACGGGAATTGATTTTTGAAGTTGGTCTCCAAATTTGGAAGTTCTCCTCACAGTTATGCACAATCTCGCTGAAATGTCCTTTTCTTGATGTAGGAGCATTCAAACGACGAGTAGCTTGATTTTGGAGAAACTAGACTTTAAGTACTACGACATCTAAAAAATCAACATAAAAAACCTTTCGTATTGACGAAAATTGATTTTTGAAGTTGGTCTCCAAATCTGGAAGTTCTCCTCACAGTTATACACAATCTCGCTAAAACATCCTTTTTTTGGAGTTAGAGAATTCAAACGACGAGCAACTTGATTATGGAGAAAACTAGACTCGTAGTACTATGACATATCCAAAAATCAATATCAAACTCTTTTTGAATTGACAGAAATTGATTTTTGAAGTTGGTCTCCAAATTTGATGATTTATCTCACAGATTTCCATTTTTTTCATATGATTTTTTTTTTCCAGTTGACAAAGAAGTGACTTGATCTTTATTCATCAAAATTGCATCAGAAAGGCTTAAGCAGTGGAGATTGTTGTTGAAGAGTGATCTAGGCCGCAAGTTAAAGTGTCATATTATTAGCGTTAATATTTCAAATTTTAAGATTATTTTTACCTTATTCAACCCTACCATCCCTACCCCCTACCCCCCACAAAAAAAGTTGTTTTGAAAAATATTTTAATTTTTTAAAATTTCATTTTTTACCCCATCTCATACTCTAACCCCACGACTCCCCCTCCACCTCGTCATTTTAAAAAAAAATTGTTTTTGAAAAATATATTTCAATTTTTATTTTATTTTAACGCCATCGCCACCCCTATCCACTCCCCCACCCAGGCCACCCGTCAAAATTTGTTTTTTTTTTTTTAAATATTATTTTTGAAAAATATTTCAAATTTAAAATTTTCATTTTAACGCCACCTCCATTCCTATCCCCCCACCCCTGCCACCCCTACAAAAAAAAGTTGTTTTAATGTACGTAAAAATAAATAGAAAAAATAATTAATTTTATAAACTAATGAATATTTTGGGACGAACATCTTTAGTAATATTATCCACTAATATCGGATGAAGAAAATAATTTTTTCACCTTATTTTCTAGACAAAAAGCAGAAATAGAAAATTAAATTTTTTAAGACTAAAATATCCCTTACATATATACATATTTATCAATATATCCCTTATTAATTAATTAACGTATCTCATAAGTTTGGTTGAATTTTATTTTTTATTTTTTTATAATAGTTTTTATTTTTATTTTCTTTATGTTTTATATTATTATTTATATATTATATTGTATATTACTTTATGTATTATTTTACAGACTTAGAAATAAAAGTAACAACGATATTTTTGTAGGATTAATAAAAGAGAAAAAATAACAATTAAAGATTTAGACCCTCCCAAAAAAGTAAAGAGTAACAAAATTTTCTTTTCTTAATTTACTTTTTTTTTTATTTGAATTTTTTTAACACTTTAGAATATTATATTAAAAAAAACAAGATAATAGCTAAGATGAAATCCAAAAAATAGGTAACAAATAACAAAAAGATCCTTCTCTTCAATATTTTTCAACAATATTTATCTATGTACAATATCGATTGAAAATTTGAATATGTACATTTTAAATAATTAAATTAAAAATGTAATTAAAATTTCTATATTAGATGTTTAAAATAGTTTCTGTCTATAAAAATAATATTAATAGTAAAAGCACATTGATACTTGACAATTTTGATAATTTGACTCTCAAAAGTATTTTAAAAGTAAATTAGTCAAACTCAAATTGCTTATCAAAAATATTTTTCAAATGAATTTGCCAAACGCAAATTACTTTTTCCGAAAAGCTATTTTGAAAAAACGCTTCTAGAAATAAGCAATTTTTAGCAGCAATGTCAAACAGACTCTTAATTAGATATTAGGTAGAAGGTGTAATTGAAATGAACTTTTCATTTTCCTCCAAAAAAAAAAAGTTTTAAATTTTGTCCAAAACCTTAGATACTAGTACTAGTAAATAGTAATAGAGAGGATTACTGTCCTAATCAAACAGATTAAACTAATCACGCGACAGCTATAAGTTTAGCTCACAATTCCATACTCTCAGGACACGTGTCACTTAGAAAGAGCGAGTTTCACCCAATAGATAAAAAAAATAAAAAAAGCCTAAAGCCTTTTTCTATTTTCCCTCTCAGTTCGAAATTCAAAATCTAAAATCCAAAAGGGCTTTCAATACAGTGACTCCTCACCCCCACCCCACTAATAATAATTTTGCCTTCTCTTTAAATCCCTGAATTCAACTGAAACCTTTAGCTAGGGTTTTCACTTTCATGGCGATTTCTTGATAAATTCCGTCTTTATCAATCAAATCATATCAATTTATACTGTAATCGGAGTCGGAGGATGAGATATATCATTTGAGAAAATATGTTATGGTCTAGATTACCTTCCGAAGAAAGTGAGGATAGGAATAATCGGGATATATTTGGAGTGTTTAGGGTGCTGGTTGTTGCCGCTATGGGATGTCTCTTTGGCTGTTTCCGTATCAATGATGGTTCTCTTCCTCCTGATTCCAAATCTCAGCTCGTTTCCCAGTCTCTAGCTCCTAAGGTTGTCTTATATGTTTTTTTTTTTAGTTTATGAATTTGTTATGGACTTTCAATTCACCTATAGAAATGGTAGACACAGATGATCTGTGATTAAAATTCGTTGATTTTACTAAATTGTACTATTTCTCGTTTTTGAGTTGAAGTTCTGTTTGATTGCGATTTACTGTCACATTTCATCTATTTTTTTTTTTTTGTCGTTTGATTTCTCGGTAGCTAGTAAGGATGAAATTTGCCGTTTAGGGCTACTTTGTGGAACGATGAATTTCTGATCAGACTATCTATAGCTATGGTAGGCTGGTAGCTCTGCTAGATACGGAAGAGATCCACAATTCCTCATAGCTATTTTTGTTATTTGATCAGGAACCTGTGGTGTCTCGCAACAGGAGTCCATTATCTTCACTTTTCAATTCTGAAGGTAGTAATCTTACATAAATTATCACACTATTAACCAATTGAACTGATATTGTTCATTAAATATTTTCAAGTTCATAAATTTTTATGCTGATGATGTCAGAAAAAGGCGAGGATGATTATTTGCGTGAAGCTGGAAAGGCTGATCAAGATGCAGGAACACCCAAGTCTGAGCTGCACACGAAAGAACTCAGGGATCAGGTTCGTTTTCCTAAAGTTTCATCACTTAAATTAGCCTTTGTCAGTTACTCTATTCAATTTAAGGTGCAACAGTTGGATATGTATGAGAATTTGATAAAAGCAGATAAACAACTGAAATTTTGGAGGAGGAACTTCCCTTGCTATTCTCCTCTTACTTTAAGAGGAAAGGTACTTTAAATGAACTACTCTTAACATAAAACTTAAGTAAACTGCACGGATAAGTAGATATACCCCACTAATTTCATTATTTTCATGTTCTAATTTCTATGTTAGTGAACTTAGGAGTGCTGTTTCTATGAGAAGATTAATGTATATTTCACATATAAAGAGCTAAGTGCTGAAATATAAGAGATATATACAGTATAAGAATCATCCTTTGATAAGTTAATACACTTGGCAAGATAGTACAACGAAAATCCTTTCCTCTCTACCATTTCAATTAACAAAGTCAACCATTTCAACAAAGCTTGGAAAGATAGTACAGGTTCATTTCAATGAAAGATGAATAGCATAGGGGTCATTCACCTGCCTATAATTTGTATTCTTCAATTGGTAGAGACGTTCTTTTCTTAGCACCTGGTATATTGAAACACTTCGACTCTTAGGAAATTTGAATGGAGTTTGGGGGTCATTTTTATGTTTAATTTCTAGGAGATATTGGTTTACTGAAAGTTAAATAGTGCCGTCACATCAAAATTTCCAGTCAGGGTATATTGCTGAATTTGTCTATGTAAAGAAGAAATTTTTAATTATGTAGGATAACACCTGCTCTCTTGTGCAGATGAAAAAGCTTAATGTAACTGACATAGGTAATAAGGCAACAATGGAGAGCCCATGGACTAATTCCACCTAGTGGTGAATTAAACCAATAGAGAATGCTTTATTAGTTCTGGACGACTATCTACTCTCCCTTATTTTTCTTTAATCATATTTCATCATCCTGCTTGCTGTTATATCTTCCAATTTTCTAATTTAAGAAGCTGGCGGCATGCCTGCTGGACCCTAATCTTTCTCCAATTACTGAAAGTGAATTCATTCTTGAACGAATTTTCTCTTAGCTGTTTCTATTGATTGTTGTGAAATTTAGTTATCATTTCAATGATTTGTCAATCTTTACCTTTCCTTTGAATATTTTTATGAAATTTGTTGATTATTGTGACCTTTGCAATTTTTGTCACCTCCGTTTGGATTTAGATCACTTCACACTATGGAAATTACAGTATAAGTTATAGTGAACTGCATTGAAGGTTTGTGAATTTTCTGCTGACAGAAAAAAAGATCCAATATGATGGATGATGTGATAAATCATTTAGTGCCCGAGTAATGTAGCATTCTTGTATTTCTTTGATTTACTAATTGTTGTGATTAATCGATGGCCTCGTATTTCTTTTAGTTTTGGTTGCTGATAATTTCTGCAACTTTCTTCAGATAGTAACCATCTAGTCCAGCTACCTTTGGTTTGAGATTTCCCCACCTATTTTTAGATGATTTTGCATTGTCTTTATTTGTCTAACTATTATGCAGGCCAAGTTCCTTAAAGCTTGTGGAACTTTACCAGAGACTCCTGCTGAAATTCGAAAAGGCTTGGCTAAATGCAAAGATCTATCAGCTTCAAAAGGAGATGTTGAACCTTTAAAATTCAAGTCTTGGCTCTCTGATGTGGCTGTTGAAAAGTTCAACCTGGATTTGCTACCTGATCACCCTATTACACCTAGTAAAAGCAATGAACTGGAAAAACAATCTGGTTCCTTAACTCATACATCTAGCAGGTAGAATCCTGACCTAAAAAGACGTTGGTCAATTTACATATAGCATGTCTTCAGCCAATCCCTATAATTATGGTTGATCTTGTTAAAGAAAGTTCTTATGGATACAAATCCCCCTTTAAAGGCCCCCTTCATATTTTAATGGGAAGTCTGCATTTAGCATGTTTATATATTTTACATCTCATGTTGTCTTATGTCTCTGTAGTTGCATGATGGATGGACAAAATGGTCAAAGTTCGCCGAAGAACTCTATTCATGGTAGTGGATCTGCTAACACTCCGACATCCATTGAGTTTAATGCTAATCAGGCTCATAGAGACGCGGCTTCAGAGGTTTCACCAATCTTTGCTCCCAGTGCGCAGTACATGAATAAAACTGTTCGCTTTGATTGTGAGTCTGATCTGTCTGCAGTCTCATCCAAAAGTACTTCATTTGCACTTGACAGTGAAAACTCAAAGCAGGCTGAGTTTTCTGGCAATTACTCTGCATTGAAGCATTCGCCCTACCCTACCCCACTAAAACTAAGTGATGAAATGCAAACACCAGGAACTGTTTTTCCAACATATATGGACAACATTGCAAATGGAAAAGCTGCTCGGATCAGGTCTCAGTATGTTTATCCAGTTTTAAACCCTGTGGATAGAGCATCGCAGTTGAAGGATTTGTCTGATGAAGATTCCTACTCCCAATTCAACACGTTAATAAATGTAGATATAAAATAGAAAATAAAAATATTAATCAGCTAATAATATGACTTTTTATTCCCTTCCTTACCTTTTTTACTATGCATTTTTCCATTTTCAATATAATATTTTAATTTATTTAATTGAAGTTGACGTGGACCCCACAATTATCTTGCAATTCCCACTTAAACTTTACATTCTCTCTTCTTTTGATTTCATTTTTCAGCCTTAAATGAAAGCTTGGGCCCCACAATCCACATGTCAAAAAATGGGTGGAGCCTCACACAACTTTGGTTGGTTGGGCCTCTACCGTAATAAATTTTTTCGTGCAAAATTTTCTTACAATACGACTACACATTTCCTCTAGCACCAGTTACACCACCCACCCAACCCCACCTTGTCCCCATCTCCGATCATCTCTGCAAATCTGAGAGCTACCGGAAAAAATGTCACATGGAGACACTATACCTCTTCACTCTTCATCCCAATCCGACATTGATGAAATTGAAAACCTCATCTATTCCAATCCTTCTACTGTCCTTCCAGCACGCCCTCCTTCTCCTCCTCGTGCTGCCATACCTGTTTCATCTTCTCCCTTCATGCCTTCTAATCTTCGCCCACCACCTCCCCCTACATCTACCACAACCACCAATTACAAACCGACACCTGTCCCTTCCATTCCATCTCCACCACCCCTACCTTCATCGGGACAGTCGAATATAGCTGCTACCGGATTCGGATCCCCGCCCAATACCCTTACCGAACCCGTTTGGGATACCGTCAAAAGAGATCTGTCCAGAATTGTTAGTAATTTGAAGCTGGTGGTTTTCCCTAATCCTTATAGAGAAGATCCTGGCAAAGCGCTTCGTGATTGGGATCTATGGGGACCTTTCTTTTTCATTGTTTTCCTTGGTCTCACTTTGTCATGGTCTGCTTCTGTTAAGAAGGTAACTCCCACTACATTGTCATAAGCATTACCATTTTACTCAATTCTGTAAATGTTTTAGAAGCATTTCTTTTTGTGATTGTACATGTTTTGTAGTTTTGATGTATAATATGTGTAATTGTAATTAACTCTGGCACAAGGGGCACTCAAATTAGATCACGTTATAGCTGAATAGAAAGGATACAACAACAACAACAACAACCCAGTAAAATCCCACTAGGTGGGGTCTGGGGAGGGTAGAGTGTACGCAGACCTTGCCACTACCTCGTGCGAGGTAGAGAGGCTGTTTCCGGAAGACCCTCAGCTCAGGTACATCAAATCCAAGTAAAAGGCGAGAAAGACAGTGTATATACATACCATCCAATACGAAAGATAATATACAATCAACAAAGGAAGACAATGACATCAATACACAATGAGAGAAATGAAACACAATAAACAACAAAAGGCTATCGATCTCACAGAAAAGAACTGCAAGTGCAAGACTAGGACTACTACACACGCTACAACCCCTACCCTTGCAAGAAGAGACAACACGCTAGCCCTACTAACCTTCAACCTTAATACGAGACCTCCACTCCTTCCTATCTAGAGTCATGTCTTCGGTAATGTGAAGCTGAGCCAAGTCCTGTCTAATCACCTCTCCCCAATACTTCTTAGGCCTACCTCTACCCCTCCGCGTACCCTCTACAACCAGCCCCTCACACCTCCTCACTGGGGCGTCTGCGCCCCGTCTCTTCACATGACCAAACCATCTCAGTCTCGTTTCCCTCAACTTGTCCACCACAGAGGCCACTCCCACCTTCTCCCGGATAACTTCATTCTTAATCCTATCACTCCTAGTATGTCCACACATCCATCTCAACATCCTCATCTCCGCAACCTGCATTTTCTGAACATGAGAGTTCTTGACTGGCCAACACTCCGCTCCATACAACAAGGCCGGTCTAACTACCACTCTGTAGAACTTACCTTTAAGTCTAGGTGGAATTTTCTTATCACACAAGACTCCAGAGGCAAGCCTCCATTTCATCCACGCAACCCCAATGCGATGTGTGACATCATCATCGATGTCACCACTTCCTTGTATTACAGACCCAAGATACTTAAAACTTTCTTTCTTGGGGATGCTCTGTGTGGCAAGTCTCACTTCTACATCTGCCTCATCCAACGCATCACTGAATTTGCACCCCAAATATTCTGTTTTGGTCCTACTCAACCTGAACCCTTTGGACTCCAGCGTTTGTCTCCACACCTCCAACCTCGCATTAACTCTGTCCCGCGTCTCATCAATCAGTACTATGTCATCCGCAAATAACATACACCATGGGACCTCCTCTTGAATAGACCGCGTCAACTCATCCATCACCAAAGCAAATAGAAAAGGGCTAAGGACTGATCCTTGGTGCAACCCCATCTCAACTGGGAAATGCTCCGAGTCACCTCCAACCGTTCTAACCCGAGTCTTGGCTCCACCGTACATGTCCTTTATCGCCCTAATATAAATCATCGGGACACCTTTAGCCTCCAAGCACCTCCAGAGGACATTCCTCGGTACTTTGTCATAGGCCTTTTCAAGGTCAATGAACACCATATGTAGGTCTCTCTTCCTTTCTCTATATTTTTCTACCAGTCTTCGCATAAGGTGAATGGCTTCGGTCGTCGACCGTCCAGGCATGAATCCAAACTGGTTCTCAGAAATGGACACCCCTCTTCTCACCCTCATCTCCACTACTCTTTCCCAAATCTTCATAGTATGGCTTAGCAACTTGATACCCCTGTAGTTGTTACAGTTCTGGATATCGCCCTTGTTTTTATACAACGGAACCATTGTACTCCACCTCCATTCATCAGGCATCTTTGCTGTCTTAAAAATAACATTAAACAACCCAGTCAACCACTCTATACCTGCCTTGTCCGTGCTCTTCCAAAAATCCACCGGAATCTCATCGGGTCCGGTCGCTCTTCCCCTGCTCATCCTACTAATAGCACGTATAACCTCCTCGCTCCTAAAACACCTGCAGTACCCAAAGTCCCGAAGTCTTTCTGAGTGTGCCAAATCACCCAACACAATGTCTCCGCCCCCTTCTTCATTTAGAAGTTGGTGAAAGTATCTTCGCCATCTCTGCTTAATGGAGGTCTCATCCACCAATACTTTGCCTTCCTCATCCTTGATACACTTTACTTGGTCCAAGTCGCGCGCCTTCCTCTCTCTCGCTTTTGCGAGCCTATACAATTTCTTATCCCCACCTTTGTCCCCCAGCTCGATTATGGTCCAGTAACATGACAGAATCTGGTGAAATGCCCAATGAAGCAAGCTTTTCATCAGAACTCGGAACTCCCGGATTAAGAAAAGCTTCAGCTGATAATGATTCAAAGGTAGAGGCCAGCTTGTCTTCGTGGCTGAAACCATCTTCAATCAATCAAGACGAGGGTAAGCAGCACACTAGTTCTGGTTACGGTAACAATGTTCACTATGGCAGAACTCCTGGAGATAGGCCTATACTTGGATTGGTTGCTGCTCACTGGAAAGATGATGAAGATTCTCGTATATCTCCTAAATGGTGGGATGGAAATGGGATCCCCAATTCAACTAACAAGTATAAAGAGGTTTGTCCTGCGTAATTCTTTAGCCTTCTCTTTTATCTTTATTTTCAGTCCACATCTCAACTCTGAGCTACACAACTCAATAAGCTTAAAGCTGATGACTTTGAGACTTCGCAGGATCAGAAAGTAAGCTGGCATGCAACGCCATTTGAAGAGAGACTGGAGAAGGCATTATCAGAAGAATCTTCCATTCCACAAAGGTATTCAATCCTTCTTTGACTTCTCTTGGTATATGTTAGTTGTTGTTCTATTTCTATCTCAGTAACTTCTCGTTTATCTATCTTACTTCATCGTGTCACAGCTAGTCGGCATCATTTCATCAGTTTTGAATAAACTGGCTAGGCAGACAGATTTAGATTCATCAAGTGAATTGATAGAATTAAAGGATCAATTGGTTATGATTGATATATCTGATGTACTTCTTTGGATTTGCAGGAAGCAATACAGTGGGACAAGACCATTTGCCTTTAACGACATGGATGAAACTGATACTGCCATCTCTCAAGTGCACTAATAATGTCAGCTAAAGCTCATTTTCCATCCATCAATTAGCACAGATTCAAAGTTTATCCGGGAATTTTGTTTCGTCTTTAGCTGAGATGCTGCTCAATCTCAGGTGTAAGCCAGACGTTCAATCTCGGATGATGGTTCGAGATATATCAAGGATTTCTGAGTGTAATATAGTTGTAGTTTTGATCATATAAACTGAACAAGGTGGCAGTTTAAAAATGAAAAATGATTAAGGATATTGGTGCATTATGATTGAGCATCTGTTTAGCAATGCATCAAGTATAAACAAATTTGCTCCACTATTAATGTGATTGCAATTTTTGAATTGTTTGGAATTTGAATCATGCATCCTTTTAATCTTTGTAGTTCCTTTCGATATTTGTTCTTAAAGCCAGTCGAACTAATATTTCAGATAAAAAACTTGACTATCTTTAGACCCAAATAATTGACAAGATTTTGTGTTATTTTTATGATTTATCAATTTATTGCAGCACAAGAAGCTTTCAAGTTATATTATTTATGAGTAATAATCATCCATAAAACTAACTTTGGTAGGATCCCAAACATCACAATGAACCAATGTTAAAGAGAGAGTATGCACCCCAAATGCCAATAATATTTGTCTTGATTAATAGAGCAGTCATTCAATCCAAATTTATAGTAAGAATTAATCAAATAAAATTTAGGTCTACTTTGAAATAATAAGAGCAGGAGGAGGGGTAAAATAGACATTCCAAAACAAAGAAAGTGGAAACCCTAGTATATAATAAAGGTAGTAGTGATGAGTGGCAAGTAAAGAGGGGGAAAGGCATGTGAAGAGAAAAATAGCAGTGAATAGAAGAGCTTGAAGCGGCGAAAATGGAGAAAGGAAACATGTGGAAAACGAAAACACTGATCCAAATTAAAACATGATGGGATTAATATAGTTTTCAATCTGAAACTAAAATTCCCTTCTCTGTTTGGCTGCTCGCTCCTCTTCATCTCTCTCTCTATCTCTCTCTTTCTACATATATATATCTATCTATGTCTCGCTGAGGCACACACATTCTCTCTCTCTCTCTCTCTCTCTCTATTTCTCTGTGCTATTCAGATCTTCAATGGCTTCCCCCTCGACCTGATGATGATTCTACACTCTGAAGGTTCAATATTTTAATTATTTTTTAATTTTCATTTTTCTGTTATTAGACCTTAATTTGAATGTTCAGATCTGCTCTTTTTTTTCTTTTCGAATTTCTCAGTCTATTAGAGTATTTTTGTGTCAATTTACTCTTGATAAAGAATTTTCTTCGAAAACTTTTATATGACTAATATTTGTTGAAAATAGATTAGTATTTTTTATTTTGCCTCTTGTGAAACTACTAATTGTAACATGGTTAAGCTTAGCAAGCAATTGCCATTATTAGTATTTATATTTTTGTCAAAATTTTAAGCATTTTCCTCTGTTTAAAAAATAAATAAATTAAAACTAGTGTAATTGACTGGCCTGATAAAAGTTGTCTTACTACTAACCGAACCTACAGGTAGTCCCGAGGGGGCGGCATCCTCTATAATAGTTAGTCGTACTGGACAAGTGAGCATCGGTCAGAGGAAAGAAAGGAGCTGTCTTTGAAAAAAAAGAAATTCGCTAGGCCTTCAGAACAAAGGCGATTCTGTTCTTGCTTTAGATAATCTGACTAATTCTATATACAACTATCTAATTTTCTTCCATAAAAGCTTAAGGGCTAAGGCCAATAATTTGAATAGCACATTCTCCTGATTTAGTAAAAATAGGCATTATAATAATTTTCTACATTCTAAAATATTGAAGTCAAATATCAACTAAAATTGGTCAAACAGACATAAAAAGTCTACATAATAGCCACTTGAATTCAGATAAAAAAGTATTGTTCCATTTTGAGGTATTTTGATTTGGCACGTAGTTTAAAAAAGAAACAAAAACTTTTAAAATTTGTGGCTCGAAATGAATGATAGAAATTTGTGTGACTGTAAACTACTTCATTAAGGGTAAAATATATAATTTATAATTAAATTATTACTTAATATAAAAATATGTCATTTTTTTATAACTGACTAAAAAGAAAAGTAAGTTGAGATTTTATAACTGACTAAAAAGAAAAGTAAGTTGAGACTATCACTTTCAAAAGGATAGATATAAAAAGAAATCTACAATTAAATAATCATTTCACGAGTTTGTCATGGAAAAAATCATCCACGTCTACACGTGTTTAGACATTATATTCCTAAATCAGAAAGGAATAAGGTTAGACAATTCAGGGTGTGATATATTTATGAAGAATAATTTTTCGACGAAGAGTATTCGATTGATTACCCTAGCTTATATTTGGCTACAGTCCTAATATGAGGCATAAGATATAATAATTTCAAAATAAAATATAGGATTAATTTATTATATGTTTGGTTTGATATATTAGGTAGTCTTTAGAATATTTATAATGTCATTTTTGTCATAATGATGAAATGAGTTATTTTATATACATAATGAAATAATTTGTCTAAAATAACTTGTCCCGGCTTAATTTCCTCTAACGTAGTAGTTAAAATACAAGCTTGAAATAGGAACTTTTCCTTTTCTTTGTTCTTTGTAATTTTACTATGATATGATTTTCAGATTGACTGAATCAAAACTAGTGGTTGACTACCTGTTCATCAACAAATCTCAGGGCTAGGAGCTAGGACTCTTTGTTTAACCACTCAAATTCACATTCGAATCCATCAATTTATAATTGAACAAACAATACAAATTTTAAAGTGTAGGATCCAATTACGTGTTTTCATTTTAATTTTTGAAATCTTTGCTTTGCTAGATACATGTATATCGAATATATGCGGATTAAATTTCTAGTAATTTTTTTAGGGCAAATTACAGAAATCACATACTTTTAAGGCAAAATTACAATCTATCCCTTAAAAGTTTATAATTACAGAAATCCCTCAAACGGATACAATAATATAAGCGCTGATACATTAATCTGATGCGCGAGATACACTAATCTGATGCGCGAAAATGAGGAATTTTGGAGATTTGTAAAACTTATAGGGGATAATGGTAATAAGTAAACTAAAATGTGGGATTTCTGTAAAAAAAATAATTTAAAAATAAAATAAAATAATATATATATATATACACACACATTGTGTCCAAGCGTGATTCATATGAATCAAAGATAAACTAATTCTCTTTGCTCACCTTTCTATCTTGCTTGCATCTCTCCTATGGCTGGCAACGGGATCGGAACCGGAACGGAACCGGCCACCACGGGCCGGAACCGAACCGGAACATGTAATTCCGAAAAAAATTCAGTGTACCCGTCTCGGACCGGACTGGAAACCGGGTCCCAACTGTTATAATTAATTTTTTTTTATTAAAATTAAAAAATTAGGAACATTACACAAATAATATTAAAAATCTTATAATTTAGAAGCAAACAAATTTATACTTTTAAAGTTTTAAATACAAACTTTCAAACTTTAAAAGTATAAAAGTTTAAATTTCACAATTTAAAACTTTGAAAATTTAAATTCAAACTTTAAAACTATAAAAGTTTAAATTTCACCCTTTAAAAGTTTGAAAATTTAAATTCAAACTTTAAAACTATAAAACTATAAAATTTAAATTTCACACTTTAAATTTTAAAAGTTTGAAAATTTAAATTCAAACTTTAAAACTATAAAACTATAAAAATTTAAATTTCACACTTTAAATTTTAAAAGTTTGAAAATTTAAATTCAAACTTTAAAACTATAAAAGTTTAAATTTCACCCTTTAAAAATTTGAAAATTTAAATTCAAAGTTCAAACTTTAAAACTATAAAAAGTTTAAATTCACACTTTAAAAGTTTGAAAATTTAAATTTAAATTTCGAACTTTAAAACTATAAAAGTTTAAATTTCACACTTTAAAAGTTAAATTTGAAGACTATAATTAAAAAAATTAAGGCGAATAGCCTATACTTTTATTAATATTAATTAAATAGTAGAAGTTGAGTTACAAAATATTAGTAGAGTATTAAAAAATCTATTCTACACAACCACCTTCTAGGAAGGGTTCTGTTTGAATTAGACCTCGAATTATTATACTCATACTAATAGACATTTAAATTTAATAGTTCATGCTACCAAGGAAATCTTTTTTTAAATCATTTAACATTTCTCTACTAACATGCTCTGGAATTGGTTGATTAGCTACTTCTTCCATTGCATCAATGTCGTCATCACTAAAATCTTGCATTATTTCATCAACGTCATTTTCAAATTTGGTCGGTAAAGGTGGACGACCATAACTCCTTCTCTCGCCATTAATCCAATCTCTAAATAGTACATATATCTCCAAGCTATCTGCTGCTAATGAATATCTATGCTCTCCAATTTGAAATCTTGCTGCACTAAAAGCGCCTTCCGAAGCTACTGAAGATGCTTGAATAGCTAACACATCTCGAGCGACCGGTTGTAGTTTTGGAAATCCTTTGCCGCGATTGCTCCACCATTCTAGAAGATCAATAGTAGTAGGTTCTGTATTTTGATTAATATATGCATCAAAATCATTTCTATCATAATGAGAAAGTTCGTCGGTTTGCGGAAAGCGGGAAAACCAAATTCCGACCTCTGGAGGTCGGAAATTTTCTAGGAAAAAATGAATAACAATAAAAATCAACCTCTTGATGTCGGTATTAAAAAAAAAAAA